AGAAATTTTCCATTCCTTTAATACTTCTGTCTTCTTAAATGTAAATTAGTGAATTAGTTTTAAAGTAAAATTATCAACTGCAGTATAAAGCTCAAAATTTCGGGGAAAATTTAATTTAAAGTCTTTGAACAAACAGCAATCATTGATCGAATTCGTGGTCAGTTGAAATGCTAAGAACAATCTTAATGGTAATTCTTAGAAAGAAAAACGTCTTATTGTGGGTCGTAAAAGGCACATGATCAGAGGACACGAAAGAAGTAACCGTAAAAATTGTGACGATGAGCGGAGAACTTTTTTAATAAAATCTTTCTGTGACAAAACTCGTATTTCTCGCCTCGTGATTTCATTTGTCAAGGATGGAGACACGTCCACGTTTGGTTGGTCGCTAAAAGAGAAATTTTTTGAAAGGATAAATCGAAAGCGTGCCTCCTTTATCTGGTTAAGATGGGGTGTATCGAATCGAAGTAATAAAAGTAACGTTCACGATGGAAAGATTTCGTATTCGAGATCATTTCGAAAAGATATTTTCATCGTATTCCATTTGATCATTGAAAATGTTAGGAATTCTCTTTTTGGTATCCAATAATCTCAACTTTCATGCGGAAAAAGCATTTCTGGAATTCTCAATTTCTATCATTGGAAAAACGATCGATTAATCGTTGAATATATTCCAAGTTTCTGTAACATTTACCAACGTAAAAACGATTCCATATCCTGTACTAAAGAGAATAATTACCATTGGAATATCAAAGAGTTGCAAATTGAAACTTATTTGCAAAATTAAATGCAAAATTCAATATACATTAATACATTGGCATTGTATATATTTGATACGTAATCTAATTTTTTCATGCTGCTAATTTTCAAAATTTCGTTGAACGATTTATAAAACGTAAGATTCTTAAAAAATTTTATATTTAATTTTCTCAGAATTAAATTTTTTAGAGCAAAAAAATCTTCTATTTCTAAACGAAATATTAAAAAAATATATATATGTGAACAAATCTGACAATGAATATATATATAGCAGATGTCATATTTATTCCTAACCTCACTTTTTTGTTATTAATCTTAATAATCTTAGAATTATAATACTAAGTTTAATGTAAAATTTAATGCAGTAAAATTATAGTATTAAAATGGTAATACTTAAAGAAACAATAATCATAAAATTAACATCACTTATGAATGAAACAAAATGTTTTTTAACTAAACAATAAAATCATGTAATCGTTACAACATTCACATAAATATTATTTAATTGAATCCAAATATATTAAAATTCGTATCGTATTAGTATCACTTTCACTATATGACTACAAAAAACTTGGCAGTAAAATAATAAAGAAAATAAAGTGATAAAGAAACGTCTCGTGAAAGTGATAAAGAAATATTTCGTTGAAAAAAAAAAAAATAAGAATGCACAATGCTACAAATTCCTTTTTTTTTTTTTTTTTTTTTTGAAAAAAAAAAAAAAAAAAAACCCAAAGGCCAAAAATCCTTTTTTTTTTTTTTTTTTTTTTGAAAAAAAAAAAAAAAAAAAACCCAAAGGCCAAAAATCCTTTTTTTTTTTTTTTTTTTTTTTTGCATAAAAAATCAAAACTTTCAAATTCTCGTTTTCATAATTGTAAAATGAAAATTAAAAGTAATCTAACCGACAATGAAAAAATCGAGCGACGAAATATTAGGAAATGGATCGTCGAATGGAGGATCTGGACAATGGCGTGACACGAATCGACGCGGCCACGTCCATCTTGCCAATTTCGAAACGAGAGGATCATCGTAGCGATCGGCTTAGCATACTGAATGGGAAGAGCAACAGGACATAGTGAAAGAACTTTCTTCGCGAGTGAGGAACGCTCGTTGTTGGTCTTGCTCGGTCAGTCCGATGTCTTCGTGGAAGCGCGGTGAAAGCGTCTGCACCACGTCCGTCGATCTTCTGCAGCCTCTCGAACGAATCTAGAGTACTTGAACAAAGAGGAAAGAAGAAGAGGAAGAATATCGGTGTGGAAGGTGTGTTGGCGCGCGATATAGAATGCGCGATCATGAAAAATTCCGTGAAAATCTCGAGTGTCTAGGAAGTTTGGCCGACGAATGGGAAAATCTGGCGTGACATTCCTCCGCAATCAGACTGCCGGAAGATGTTTCGAGGCACGATATCGCGGAAAACGTGGATCCTTGTCTTGCTCTTCTTTATTTTCGCTCACGTGGCTTGTCTGGATGTTAAACTTCTGCGTAATAATTCTTTGACTACCTCGAATTATGGTGTAAGTAGTACATTGGACAGTGAAATTGATATTTGGCCTTCTCCTCTTTAAGTGATGTTTAAACAGAGTGATGTTATACAGTGGATAATTACATTGTTAAATTTCTTTTCGATAAAGGAAAATTCGTGTAACGTATTCCTATTCTTGATAAAAAATTGCTTTGGTCGAGGAATTCTTTTTTTTTTTTTGGGAGTGATTTTTTTTCATAAGATTTCATAATTTTTCATAAAATCCTCTCGGAAAGATCATGAGATAATTATTGATAAGTATTTAAAAAATATTTTGAGAAATTTAATCGAGAATTATTTCTTTCGTGAATAACTCGTTTAAAATAATGAAGGGGTTCGTTATTGCGAATCAATTTTATGTGGATAATTTAGAGGATTTGTTCGTTGTATAGATTGGAATTTTTAATGATACGAGCCTTGACCCATAATTCGAATCATGGTCACTTTCTCTGACGGCTTCTTATTGCTTATTTGCAATGGAAAGTGAGCGTATGGCTTGAAGAGTGATCGATGTTTCTTTCAGACGACGAATTCGACCCGTAATCGAAAGGGCAAGTTCTTGTTTGATGAATTGTTCGGCCTTGACATAAGTAGCAGCGTGGACGATGATGATGTTGTATCAAGGAATTGTACATGCGGTAAGATTACGTTAACGAATAAATGAATGAATCTTTCTCTTTTATTTTCTATATGAAAAAAAATAAATTTAAAATAATTGCAATATATAAATATTTATTAACATTGAAAATATTCTGAATTATAGTTAATTTAGAATAAAATTATAATAGAAAGTTGTAAATTTTGTAAAAGTTGTAATAATTTTTACAAAATTTTTTTAACAGTTTTTGTTGTTGAAATAACAAGAACACTAAAATTGCTATCTTTTTTTTATTATTATTATTTTATTTTTTTCATTTTAATTAAATTAATTGAATTAAAATTTTCCATTTCAAATTTTGAAAATTTGAATTGAATAATATTTTGGATTAGAAATATAATTTTATTCGTTATTTTCTATTTTTAATTTTATTGTATGTTATTTTCTTATATTTGAAAATACTATGTTTCATTTATCTTACGTAAAAATATATTCATCCTTGATATAATTCAAAATATTATATTTTCTTCTTTCTCTTCCGCAAAAGAAAAGAGTATTTATTAGCTTATTTAGTAGAAAATAAAATATGCTATTACGTTTTTCTCATGAAAAGTAATACATTGCAATAAACGTTTAGTTTTGATTGCCTGTAAATAGAAGAATATTTTAGTCGTTTGTAATGAAAATTTAAACGTTCGAATGTACATGGTAGCACGTTTCATTTAAATGTGACTTTTTTCCCAATGAAAAAGTGAAATTGATTAGTTTTCGCCTCAAACGTTCAAATACGATTTCTTTCAAATAGGGAAATAAATTACTCCTCGCGCCAAAGTCAAAACATGTCATTATTCGTAATAAAAGATGAAATGTGTTTCTTGGATAATCGAAATATAACTACTTTTCATAAATATGAAGATAAATGTGAATAAATATGACAAATATGACGAATGACACGTGCCACTTTCAATTTATTTTGACGAATTTATTGTCAAAATTTTCCAAAATTATATGTATATCATAACAAAGAATATCTTTTCGATATTTTTTTATACCAATTTATGAGTCACAATCTGATATACATTTTTAACAAGAATTATTCAAACGCATCAACTTTACATAAATATACAAAATTTTATTCATAATATACGTATAATTTACATAATATACATATACAATGATTCCAATTCTGTCAACTTTTCAAAAATTCTATATTTCAAACATCCAACTCGCGGTACCATGCATTACAAACTTGATTACAAAGTTATTGTATACGAGATATCAAATTTTTACAAATCTAAAATCACAGAATTATAATAGAATTATAATTTACAGAATTTTCAAAAAATTCGAATCAAAATTGACAAAAAGACAAAATTTATTATACATTTATTGAATCAAATTTTAATTGAAATTAATCTCAAACCTTATATTAAAACCTATATATTAAAAATTTCACTTGCAACAATCTAATAACACATTCAGTCACATTCAGAGAGAACCAGAAAGTTGAGAAATTCTGCTCCATACTCTACTTATCATTCAACCATGTGCAATAAAATAATCAAGTTCAATGCTCGAAACACAGATCACAGATCGATTCATTCCAATTGCAAGATAAAAAAAGATAAACCGAACTGGTTTTCACCTACGTTTAATTTCACTTGGTGGTAGGATAAAAAAAGAAGAAAAAAAAAAAAAAAGAAAAAAAAAAAAAAAGAAAAACCCAACTGGTTTTCCCCTGCGTTTAATTTCCCTTGGGGGTAGGATAAAAAAAGAAGAAAAAAAAAAAAAAAGAAAAACCCAACTGGTTTTCCCCTGCGTTTAATTTCCCTTGGGGGTAGGATAAAAAAAGAAGAAAAAAAAAAAAAAAGAAAAACCCAACTGGTTTTCCCCTGCGTTTAATTTCCCTTGGGGGTAGGATAAAAAAAGAAAAAAAAAAAAAAAAAAAGAAAAAAAAGCCACGAACTAGTTTCCATCGCATTGCTCGTTTCTCTTTCTCTTCCATAGCGTGGAACGAAAGTGCGATCGAAAAATCACTTTCCCCCCATACGACTTTGCAAACTTATTACATCACGTGACGGAATTTACACTTGACCACGTCGGCCAAGTGTAATAACGTCAGTCAATACGTATGATTGCGCGCTACCTACCGATGTAACAGTCCACGGTAGAAAGCGTCGTTGAGTGCTTCCGGCTCCTCTAACGACGACGTCACGTAACGGGCAACAATGATGGAGGTATTGCTTTCAGAATGCGGTATATCGAATCAGGAGGATCGAATCGTCGGTGGACGACCGACAACCCCGAATAAATACCCGTGGGTGGCGAGGCTCGTGTACGAGGGTCGTTTCCATTGCGGAGCCAGCCTCGTTACCAATGATTACGTTATTACTGCTGCTCACTGTGTACGAAGGTAAGTTTTCGTTTCGCAGAAATTTTCATTAGTTACATCAATTTCAATTTTTTTTTAAGATAATTTTTCTGATTCAATTTGTGCTTTTGTTTGGTGAAAATTAAATTTTATTTGTGTGCAAGAGTTTATAAAAGATTTTTATGTATCATGTAATACAGTATTTTTATATTATTCAATTTGTAATTATTAAATAAAATGTAAAAAATTAACAAATGTTGTGTTAGAAAATAAATGGTAAATACAGTGGATACGTAATCAACCAAATGAATGTAATGTAAATATCTAAATAATTATGATTAAAATAATTGATAGTTATGTATTATTACGTATTATGTATTATCATGTTAAATATTAAATATATCGAATTTGAAATAAATTTTAATTTATTATCATTTTCTTTCTGCAGAATTTTTCATTAAAAAAAAAATTTACTACTTACTAAATAAATAGAATGGTTAGGTAGGAGTAATACGGAAATGTTGCAACGAAAGCATTTTAAAGTTTCCATTATTTCTCTTTGTGTATTCTGCTTTTATAAAATGCAAAATAGTTAAATCAAAAGATATTTTAATTTTAATTTTAATTAATTTATTGTAAATATCATAGTAATAAAAGCATTTATAATCAAATATTATATTTATATATTATATATATATTCCTTGTATTATTCCAATAAATATCAAACTATTTATATTTAATAATTATATGAATTAAAATACGATATATACGATATATGTAAAATAACTAATATTTTGTTATAAAGAATTATTAAATTTATTAAATTATTAAAATATGAATTATTTTCCAGGTTAAAACGTTCAAAAATACGTATAATATTAGGTGATTACGATCAATACGTAAATACCGATGGAAAAGCTATAATGAGAGCAGTGAGCGCTATAATTCGTCACAAAAACTTCGACATGAATTCATACAATCATGATGTTGCTTTGCTGAAACTTCGAAAATCTGTGAAATTTTCCAAACGTGTCAAACCAGTATGTTTACCTCAAAAAGGTAATTAACAATAAATATTATCTCAAATATGCTAATGAAAAATTGTTAAATTCTATTTTTACAGTTTTTTTATACAAATAATATCTTGTAAAATTTTAAATCCTTTATGAATTTTATTATCACGATTGAAAAATCATATAAAATTTATTAAAATTAAATATTTTATGTTTTCAAACAAATTGATACTTTATAGAATAAATAATTTTATTTAAAAAATATAAAAATTTATCCTATTCAAATACTAAAAACAATTAATTAAAAATAAATCTACTTATCTTTGCTTCATAAAAAAATAAAATTTTTTTTTCTCTAATAAAATGAATTTAAATAGCGAAAATATTTGCAGCTAGCGATCCAGCTGGTAAAGAAGGTACCGTAGTAGGCTGGGGTCGGACATCGGAAGGTGGTATGCTGGCTGGACAAGTCCACGAAGTTCAAGTACCCATATTAAGTTTAATACAGTGTCGTAAAATGAAGTATCGAGCTAATCGAATTACGGATAATATGATATGCGCCGGTCGAGGCAGTCAAGATTCTTGTCAGGGTGATAGTGGTGGACCTCTTCTCGTGCAGGAAGGCGATAGACTCGAAATAGTTGGTAAGAAATAAATATCGTTTTAACTTATCACATGTTTACTTTTAAGTTATCAAGTATTCGAAGAATTAAATTTCCACGTATTCTTTTTATTCGTTTATTTTTCCTTGATAAAAAAAAAATTAAATAAAATACAAATTTATTGTGTAGATTGAACTGATGTGTAATTAAATAAATATTGAAGAAATAAATAAACTTTTAAATATGAAATAATTATAAAATAATAATTTTTAAACTATTGAATATTAATATAGTTTATCTTTTTAAGATATAAAAGAATAACAAATTTTTATTTTTAAAAATCATAATATTTTTATAAAAATGTTATTATTATTATTTTTAATTTTTATTTCTTTTAAATGTAGGAATAGTTTCTTGGGGTGTAGGCTGCGGAAGACCAGGATATCCTGGAGTTTATACAAGAGTATCTAGGTACCTGAATTGGATTAACACAAATATGAAACAAGGATGTATATGTACAAATTAAAAAGAATCGATCGATTGTTCAAAATGATATTTCCATAAAAAAAATCTACAAAATGGAAAATCTTCTACTAATTTAATTTAATGACAATATTTTATATTATAATTCCATCAAATTATTTATTAATCCAATCATGTTGTGTTGAGAGTGTCTGATTTTATCATTTGATAAAATATAATTATAAAAATCAACACAAAATAGAAATTATTTATTTTTCTTTAATTATTAAAAATTATTATAATTTTATTAATTAGTCAAATATATTAGAAAAGTAAATTAAATGTACTTAAAAATCTCATGAACTAAATGATGTATAAAATAAGAAGCTGTTATAAATTAATTTAATGTATATATATATTTAGTAATAATTAGAAAATTAGAATAATTAGATTATATTATGTTAACAATAAATATAAATAGTCATAATTGTAAAGAATATTTTATTACTTTTAAAATATATATACATTGTACATAATTTATTAATAAATTATAACGTTAGAATAATTATTATCATAGCAAAGAAAAGTAAATAAAGTATGTAAATGTCATATGTTGTAAATTAAAAAATAATCTACTATAAATAAATCCATAAATTTTTGAAAATTTAATAAAAAACAATATCAACAAATAAAAAAACAAAATCAAATTTCAATCAGTAAAATATTTATACCTTATATATGAAGATTTCTTTTTCTATTTTGTAAATAAATAATAATCTTTTTGATATTTTTGTTATTCTGTAAAATATGGAGATTGCTTTCACATTTGTAACATCTGTAAAAATTTGCAACATGTAGAAAATATATTGTATAATTCGAACTGTACTCGTATCGTCCCTTTTGTTGCGTGAATGGCAACCGAACGTACTTGGAATAATGATCAGTAACGGTTTTCTGTCGAACCACGATTAAATTAATGAAGCTAATACAAAACCAAGACGACAGTATATGCATTCGTGCATATGTAATGTAAATTCAATCTTTGCATTCAATGCTTTACGTTTTTCATATAAAATATAATATATTCTATATAACACTTGCTCATCATTCAAAAATAAATTTCCTTTCGATCCATTAAAAACTAGCTCCCTTCTCTTTATTTTTTTCACATTCCTTGATATTCCAAATGTGACGTTATTCAACAACTATTTATAAAAGATCATTGTCAGAAAAAAAATGTAAATAAACAAATAAATAAAAATGAATTCTGAAATCCAAAAGAACTTTTGTTCCCTCCACAAAGTCGAGACCAAAAATAAAGAAGGCCAAGAAGGCGTATCATAATTTAGTCGAAAGTGGAAAAACCAGATTATAATAGCCTAGTCACTATCTCGAATAGACATAATATTAGTGCAAAATACTTGCTGTTAAACGAATGACGCATGACAAATTTGTGTATAATAAGAGTTTTACATATAATATGATGGGTACTTGTAATGTCTTTTCTCTTGGAATTTGAATAATATATTCGTGGCACTGATTTTTGGGCGTGTCATGAGATGGTTATAAATACGTGAAAAAATATATATATATATATTTTAATAAATAGCAGATAATATATAAAAAATATGGAATTAAGTGATATATTGTTATAATTATTTATTTACGATTGAATTAATATTAATAATAAATTAAATTTTTCACGTAAAATTTACTTTTGTAATATATAAGTAAGTATTTTCAAATGCTCTTCTTCATTAATATTTTCATTAATATTTTATTAGTTGCTGCAAAACGATAAACTAATGAAGATAAATTAAATCGATAAGATTTCTTTTCAAGTTCTTTTTAAACGACTATTTACCATGAAAAATATATGTATTATTATTATACAACTTTTATTTAATAATACAATAAATATATCATTAATGTGATCAATAATCAAATAGCAAATTTTCAATCGAAAAAGATAGCGCACGTGGATTATTAATAAATATAAAATTAGCTCGTGATCAAGATTTAAACATCATTTCTAAATTAAATTATAATATCAAAAAATATTTAAATGCATCCAAATCCATATAAAAAAAAAAAACTGCAATCATCGTTGAAAAACCTAGCGTGACCCTGATGAAGGTCAATAACAGTCACCCGTAATTCGACCCTGAACGTGAACCCGAACTGGTCAGGTACTGTCCAGTCGCCGACCAGTCGTGTCCTCCTTCTCTTCTGGAATAGCAATCACCTTCCTCGAAGTGAGTCGTCCTCAGTTGCCGTGGGACACTGGCGATAGCAACTCCCAGCCAGGGATATGTTCGTAACTCGTTCCTGACAGTGTCCGCGCGGCGGATCCTTCATCAACAGAGAGAATCCTTTCTGTGGAACGTGTTCAACGTGTTTCGCACGGATAATAAACGCGGGCAGAATTTGATCGACGGAAAATGAGGTTCTCCCCGTGCATTGGATTACTAGTGATCCTGGCTCTGGCTTCAAGAAGTTGTCAAGTAAGACATCACATAGTAAGATCTTTGCGGTAAAACTTATTTTTATCATAATATCAACGGTACTGTAAGAGGAGATGCAAATGCAATGCAAAAAATTGTAAAATATTATTATTTAATTATAGGATGATTATTGAGATTGTTTTAAAGATAATTTGGGGATAATTGAGGAATTATTTTATTAAATAATTGCGGAATAATCATTGAATTTGTAAAAATGTTTTTTATTGATCATTTTTGTCTCAATTGGAATCGAGATTTTATATTTGCTTTTCAAAAAGTAATTTAAAGTAGAACGTATTGTAATATGAATTAAATTTTATTCTTAAAAGAAACAATATTAATGTTAATTTTTAAATAAGTTAATGTACAGTTAAATAAACATACAGTTTATATGGAGATATTAAATATAATTTTTGTGTTATATATTGAATTGTTAATAAAAACTTATATTGAATTTAATCAACTTTTTTTAGGCAAGTACTATTGGTGAAAAGGTGAAAAACTTTTTTGGTATTTTTGGTAACAAACCACCGTATGCTGTAGAAGCACCTGGACCATGTTACTGCAGTAAGTACAATTACATTTCCATTAATAATATCAAAAATAATAATTAACAATTATTAAGAATAATATGATGTAGCAATGTATCATAAAAATGATACAATATTTTGGAAATAATCTTTATTTTTTCTCTAAATATTTAATTATTCATAATATTCATTATTATGTCTTTTAATATCTTTTGATTAACATTTAAATTAATATTATTGTCATATTATTCAATATCATTCAATATTAAAATGGACTTATTATTGCTAACTAAAAAACTATTATATATTATATAATTATAATAATATTAATCACATAATAATTATTGAATTATACTATACTATTTAACGGTATTATTTATAATCTTAATGAATCTTAAATTAAATTTTATATACGTATTGACATTAACTTAACACTATATGTTCTAAAACATTTTAACATCAAGCTCTAATATAACAGTCAATATTGCCAACTTATCATTATTATTATTTTATTTTTCGTTACCGTTAACTACGACTCCTAGTTAAGAAAACCAGGTTGCTAACACGTTTAACTGTTCAAACTATTAGGCTGCGGCCTGCGAAACGAAGAAAGTCGAATAGTTGGTGGTCAAACGACTCGTATGAATGAATTCCCATGGATGGCCAGGCTTTCATATTTGAACAAATTCTATTGTGGTGGAACATTAATAAACGATCGATATGTACTCACAGCAGCTCATTGTGTCAAAGGGTAAGTATTATCCAAAACAGGCAATTAATTCTCTATAATGGTATAATAAAATTTATATATCCATACATGTCCATCCAACTTTTTATACTATTTTTCAAATTTAATTTGTTCTATTTTTTTTTTTATACTTTATTGATATTAAGTAATTTGTAATATTAAGTTATCTCATAATCGATGTCGTTTTTGATAGAAAATAATAATAATTATTTTTAATTATCATGAGAAAATAATTTTTCTTTTCAATTAAAATAATACTTTAATAATAATTTTTATTTAAAAAATTTTATTTATATAGTAAATAAAGAATATCAGAAATATGAATTCAATCAATAACTATAGCAGTCGAATAATAATTATAAAATAATTCAATATAATGGATATAATATGTTAATGTTAATTAAACTATTTGCTTTTTTAAACTTTTTTCTTTGTTTTGCCATATATAATCAAATACTGTAATAAATAAGAATTTAATTCCAATTCGCTCAAAATCAATTGTTCATTTATCAAAGTATTATCTATTTATTTCTTCACTATAAATTTTTCATTTGCAGCTATGACAATTCTTCGTTTTAATATAAATGATCCTTTAAAACGACAATTATGAAATTAATTAATATTCGTAACAACTATTATTATTTTAATTTATAAATCAGAAACTATAATTAGTTACTTAATTTTTTTACAGAAATAAACAAAATTATCACTCGTAAAAAGTTAAAACAATTCATTCACATACATATAATGAATCAAACAAAGTCTTTCGAATTTCTGGTTTAATTTACAAATGATAAGATTAGTTCTCCAGAGAAGCATGATCAACTTTCCTAGTCCCATTTTCAGGTTCATGTGGTTCATGATCAAGGTCACATTCGGTGAGCATGACAGGTGCACCGAGAAAGGGGCAGAAACCAGATACGTGGTGAGAGTGCTAACCGGTGATTTCAGTTTCCTCAATTTCGACAATGATATTGCCCTGTTACGTCTTAACGAAAGAGTGCCCCTCAGCGATACCATAAGACCCATATGTCTGCCATCAGTAAGAGGTGATTATTTCACTATTTCTATTATCGCGTGTGCAAATGTTAAAAATGTTCATTCTGTATAGAATCTGTCATGTGTATGTTATTCTGTAATATTTGTATTAATATATTCATTGGACATCTTTGAAAAGTTTTAGAGGGAAAACAAACAAAAAAGAAGCTTATTTATTAACATTTATAAATAATTGAAGTTTGCATTAAATGAAACAAAGATGGAATCATCTCATTTTAATTGCATTTCATCTAACAAACTTAAACTATCTATAATTTGATATCTAAATTAAATCTTAATTGACATTTTTATATTTTTTCTAGAATGGATCTTTGAAAGATATTTATTAATATTGGATAATATTGAAGTATATTTGAATATTGAAAACAATTAATTAATCAATAGATTGTAGATTTTTATATTTTCAAATAGATTTTTTGTATTAAGGAAATAATCACGAATAATTTAGTATATAAATATTAGAATTCATAACAGAAATATAATGATAATAATTAGGTAGTAATACTGAAGTTTTAAATATATTTCAAAGACATTTTATAATAAAAAATTCAAAAAACAATATTGTTCAATCTATAAATTAATTTTTTCAAATAGAATATGAGATACCAAATTTTTAATTGTAGAATAATTTCATAGCCATAATATTTATGCAATATATATCACTAATTCTAAAAATTAAAACAAATATAAAAATATCAATTAAAGTTTATTTAATAAGTTATAATCAATTTCGTACTAAATAAAACAAGACAGAGACATTTTTATCTCCATCTATCACACTCTATCAATATTTTCTTAAAAATGTTTTTAATAAATAAAATTCTGTAACATAAGTTCTATCTTATTAAATCGTTTTAGTACAAACTTAAATCGTTTAATAAATAAGTCTCAACCACTATTTTTTACACCAATTTTTATCATTTGCTTCGTATTGCTCACAATAATATTAAACACTCATATATTTGAATCTCATAAAAATCCATTATTCAATCGTATAAAGTAACATCTCTCACCAAATAATTCCATCAAAACGAAACGTCAAATAGCACACATCGATAGAAATTCTTAGAACAATTAATCTATCGTTACAAACATTTCAATCATTATTTATTGTTGCGAAATTACAAATTGATCAATATACGGGTACCGATAATAGCGAATTCAGCCACGCGATTTAACCACTTTCGATCAAAATAATGAAACTCTGATGCACAAACAACTATTTGCAACAACTATTATCGAATTATTAAGTAATTCGTGTCAAACAAGGTGGCCAGATCCAGGTGAGAAGTAAGCAAATGGATAAACACCGGTGACAAGTCAAATGAAAAATAATTCTAAAAACACTATATCAATATTGCATACCAATCGATATCGATGCATACCATTACCATTCCACCGCAATCTTCTCTTTCTCTTTTTTTTCTGCATGACGTACATTTCTCTTCTCCCATGTACATACGGGCCGTGTTAATGGGTTTCAGATAAGCAATACATCGGATCGAAGGCAATCGCGTCCGGCTGGGGTACGTTGTACGAGGATGGTAAGCCTTCTTGCCTGCTGCAGGAAGTCGAGGTACCGGTTATGAGCCTTCAGGATTGCCGTAACACAAGCTACAATCCACGCATGATTTCTGATAACATGATGTGCGCAGGATATCCCGATGGCCAGAAGGATTCTTGTCAGGTGAGCTTTATCTCAGTGTTCGATTTAAAAAATTATGTTTAATATGCATAGAGTGTTCGCAGAAGTTTGATGAGCGATTTTTCATGTGAAAGTGAGAAAGAATATGTTCTTTATTTATTTTTGCATAACTGAAATAATGATAATTGAAAATTAATAAAATTCAGAAATAATAATTAATTTTTTGTACATAAAATTATTTATATATCGTTGATAAAACAGTTTTTTAACAAATATCGTATTAAAAAGAAAAGAAAAAAAAGGAATAGATTATTTTTCCAATTGACGCAAAAAATATCGTACAGATGTGATTTTTAGATTTTTTTAGGTTTCCTTCTTTCTTTTTTTTTAGGGTGATAGTGGAGGACCACTCATAACCGAACGCGAAGACAAGAAATATGAGCTTATAGGTATAGTATCCTGGGGAAATGGATGTGCTCGGCCAGGATATCCTGGTGTTTATACGAGAGTTACACGATACATAGACTGGATCATTTATCATTCTCGAGAGGGTTGTTTCTGTGAACAGAATTAAGATCAATAATTGTTGTACACAACCATGTTCAAACCAATAGATTTCTCTGCTTTGTCGTATCAATTATTAGCATTGAAAAATTATCACGTTGAGAGAGATAAATACAAGTTTGAAATATTATAACATAATTCACGTGCACGTGAGAAAAACATTTGATTTCGTTACGAATATTAATTAACAATCAGTTTTCACATGAAATATGTGTCGAATATAAGTGATATTCGAAGTGATTCAAAAATTAAATTTGTTTTTCTGAATAAATGACTCAAACAGAGAGTACGAAGCTCAAAAATAATTTTAATACGTATATATTTACAAAATACTCAAATTTTTTATTTTTCTGTATATCATTTTTCATCTATTATTGTTAATGATCATAAATTTATTCATTTTATTGTATTTTTTTTTTACAACAAATATAAAAATCACGATTTATAATATAAATATAAGATCAATTGAAAAAAATCAATTTAAAAAAATTACACGATCTGTTCAAACATAAGTGAAAATTTTAATCATTTTAAAGATCAAGTAATATGCTCAATAACGAGACAGTCAATAAACGTTTATTATTACATAAATTATGCAACGATAATTATCTATAAACTTATTTTATCCTGGTAATAACAAAAAATTTTATTTAGTTTATTGAATAACTTAAATCATTTGTCATGTTTTACATGTTTTTTTTAATTAAATTTCTCGAAATTTCACTAATTCCCTATACACGAAACGAAATTTATCAATGTTATTTTCTATTAAGATTAATTATTTTATAGGAAATTAATCGTATGCATTAACATCAAAATTAAGAAATTCAATCAAAATAAAGTAAAAATAGAATTGTGGAATTTGCAGCGAAAGAAGAATAAATCCATTTTTAACAATCGCTGAGTTATTAAGTGTTTATATAAATTTTGAACAATACGAAACGTTTTGTACAATACGAATAAAATTTTTGAGTTGCTTCTCTTGTATATAATAATAAACGATGCTTCCAATTAATAAAACGATGAATTGATTAAATTAAATATTTTATCGCTCATTATTTCTAAATTTACAAATTCGTCAAAAATTAAAATAAGAACCTAACACCTATTATTAATTAATTACCATTGATTAATATCAAAACAATATATATTCTATAAATAATTAACATCATTTTTCATAAATTTCTGTTACAAATGAATCAACCCTTGCTGCAAGATCGATTTATCAATTCGTCCGATCGATGTGATTCAATTACTGTGCCCGTGAATCAATAAGATCATTACATTCGATATGCAAAGCTGAAACCAATGCGTGCATCATCCCTCGAATCGAAGCCGATACTCTCTACTCAAAGCTTATCATACGTGTCAAACGTATTTCCATTTCCACGGATTGACTTCTGATCACATCATCTTGAAATCCTCTAACGGTACCGAGCAACCGGTTGGCGACCGGTTACCATTCAAACGAGACAACCAAGAGCGAATTCTTGGGCCGATAACTTTCGTGGATTCGACGTTTATGAAAAGGCCTTGTGCACTGCTCGAGATGCGGGCAATGATAATCCCGCTATACAAGACAAACCGACCGTTCAACCGGACCCAGTACCGTTTCGACAGCCGAGAGAAAAGCCATGAAGCTGCAAAACTTCGTTAAATATCTCGTATGCGGTCTTTTGTTGGTGTTCGCCACGAGATCGATTCGCTGTATCGAGGTTGCTCCATCCGTAAGCGATTTTTCTTTACAACATCTTCGATATTTGTTTCTCGATATAGAATATAGATTAAACGTTTTATCGTACGTTTTTGTCATCTGTGTCTATTTTTTCTAATTCGATTTCGTGTCGAGACAACAAATGAAATATAAAGAAAATGGGAAGAGACGTATAAATTAAGTATAAAATTGTGTATACATATATAAGATTTAATTCAAATTTCAAGATCAGATTTTAATTGTATTACATTATTTATATGATAAGGGAAAAAACAATTAATAAGAAATTATTAAATATAAAGTAGAAAATATTTTATATTCGCTATTTTTAATAAATTACGAAATTAATATTCAAAATTCAATATTGTATTTAATATTGAAAAATTATATTATTGATTTTCTTCACGATTTTAATTAAATCATCATGTATTTTCAATTCTTGACTAAACTTCAATAAATTCACTATAATTCGTTTTTACACTGCTAAAACTGCTAATAATTATTGTCTGCTAAAAAGATGGAAAGTCTTTCCATCTGAAACAATAAAATTATCCATGAAAAAATAATTAAATGATTTATCACTTCGTATATCGTAAAATTAGCGAGAAATTCATAAAAATAAATTCAATATTTTAACTTCAATATTTTAATATTTTCGAAAGAATGCTAAAAATATATAATAACGTATAAAATAACAATTAAATTATTCACGGAGAGTTTCATATATTTATATTTGTACGAAATACAGCTCTTCGTGTTACTCTTTTTATTAGAATATATTGCGGGAAACACGAGGCATTTTGGACTTCCTGTTGGGCAGATTCAAAACTTGTGGCAATTGTCGTAAGAGAATATTTGATCTATCAGATACTTATTGATTAAATTCTTCATTGATTATTAAATATAACTTGTTTATAGTTTGCGGGCGACCAAATCGATTTGGCGAAACACGATTCCTCGGTGGAGAATATACAAAAGTTCACGAATTTCCATGGCTTGCGAATATTCACGTGAAATCGAAATTTCTCAGCGGAGTTCTGATAAACGATCGTTACGTTCTCTCTTCGGCCAGTCAATTGATTGGGTTCGTAAATTGCATAAAATTTTCAATTTGTTTTAATTTTAAAAGAAAAAAAATTTGAATATTATTTGCAGCGTAACGGCGGCGGAAGTAAAAGTATCCCTTGGAGAATACGATCGATGTAATTTGGACGTGTCATCGAGCACGATCAGCGTTGAATCGTTGATTCTCTATCCAGAGTATAACATGGAGTCTCATGCTCATAATTTGGCATTGATTAAATTAAGTCAAGCTGTAAAATTCGAGAGAAGGCTATCACCCATTTGTTTACCAAATCCAGGCATGTATTTCACATATTTAATTTTTATAATTAATTTTTTTTATTTTATTCTCTTTTTTTTTCAAATAATCTATTTGTAAAATAATAATTAAACTGCGGAGGTTTATGAAAATTTGTGTTTTTATAGAACACAATTATGAAATTGAAATAAATAATGTATTTTTTTGTTATGAATATTTTCCATCTTTTTCAATATCACATGCATTCCATAGATTTTTATACATATAAATTTTGCATAAATATGTAAAATTTCTCCAGTTTAATAACAATATATGAGTTTAAAGAAATTTAAAAAATGTATCCAATAACATCTTCAATATCTTCTTTGTTATTTTTAAAAATATTCGAAAGTTTTATGATATAATATATAAAATTTTTATAATATAAGAAAGAGCTGAAATATGTATATTTATAGTAATTTTTTTTATATGCTCATAAAAGTTCTCAAATATGTACGCATCCTTAATTTGGGAAACCATGCTTGTTTTATCATTATTAAAAAATATTTTTTCAAAATTCTACATTTTTATTGATATTTTTTGTTTCTTTATATATTCTTTATATATTAATATAACTTGCAATAAATCAAACTAACTTCTAAAGAAATTTATAAGAAATTGAAAAAATAATTTTTGGCTGACGGATTAAACATACGTATATTATATAATAATAAAAGAAAAATTGATAAATAAGTACAATTAATGCAAAATTATATCATTTGCAATATTAAGGTTCGACTTATCTTGGACAAGTTGGAACCTTGGTCGGATGGACGGTGAAGAATATAGACGATCAAAACAACAATCAAACTTGTCGACCACGAAAATTGGGATTTCCAATTTTGGGGCACGAGGAATGTGTCAAATCTGGAATAAATCCTATGAATTTTCACAATGATTCCGGTTGTGTTGGAGTATTAGGTGGAAATTCTATTATATGCGAGGTATATTAACTTATCGGCAATATTATTTTTAATTGTTTCAATTAAGTACAATTGTTAATCAAATACGGATATTATAATTATAAGTTTGTTACAAAAAGTAAATATTAAGGAAAAATGAATCGAAGAAAAATATTATTATTAAATTATAATTTACAAGTTAAGTAGAATTTGTGATCTTTATTTTTCTTTTTTTTTTAATCTTATTTTAGTTTATTTATTTATTTATTTTATTTTGATAAAATTTTAAATATCTAAATATACATTTCAGAACGACGTGGGTTCCTCAGTACAATATCGTTCATATTTTGGAGTGTATGATCTAATTGGTACGCATAACATTTTTTTTAAAATTACTTAACTTTGAGTTACACGAATAATTGTAATTAATATTCGTAATAATTTTATCGCAGTAGCCTTAGTCGTATAGTATAATAAAACTTTTTTATAAATAAAATTTTTCAGGCTAAGAATAATGAATTAATGACAATATCTTATTTTGTAACAGGTATAATTTCAGATATAAACAAGTGTGATAATATTCCTGCAGTTTCGATATTCACAAGAGTTGGTCCACATTTAAATTGGATATTACAACAAACCAATGATGCTTGTTATTGTTCAAAATAATATTTTTAATTATTATTTTTTTACAGTACTTGCACTTCAACAAGTTGCTTTACATTGAATTATCAAATGATTCATAAATAAATTTATTTTTATTATTTTTCAACATGAGAAAAATTTCATTATTTAATATAAATTTTAATTATTTTCTTTAATTATGCAGAATAAAAAAATATGTTTCATATTAATTTCATGTTAAATATTATTTGGCAACAGCGATTCTAATAACAAAAAATTAATATTCATTTTAATATTTTTATATTTAATATAAAAATATTTAATAAAATATTTAAAATATAAATTTAGAAACATTTACATCTTTTCCTCTCAAAATTCGATGCTCTTAAAATAATTATCTTATCTAATTTAAATAAAAAAGAAATCAGCATATAGCATCGTTATAAAGAAAATCAATTCGTAATACTTTATGTGTAATATGTTATGTATATCAGTAATATTATTACTGATCTGTTATCTTAAATTTAAAAAAAATAAAATCATTAATAAATATTAATATAATTTCTCAATAAACAAAAAAATAATTATTTTCAACAATTTCAGTATGAATAATATTCTTGCTTACATACAATAATATTTATTTTGTTGTAAGAAATTTATTACATATTCGATATCGTAAATGCGTGTATAAGTGGACGGTATTTGCAATTATAAAAAATTAATTTGATGTAATTATCAACGAACGTACAATAACTCATTCAAATGTGATCAAGGTATAAATATATGAATATCCATATAAACACTTCAATAAACACTTTGTGCACTAAATTCACTTGAACGTAATACATGTATATAAGTATCTGTATTATTTATATTTATTTTTATTAACTCTACAATGATATACTTCTTTTACATCAAATAGATACATCAAATAGATATTATTGCAATCTTTTAAATTTAATTTCGTATATTTAATATTATTTCGTATATTTACATCATACAAAAAATTATGAAAAAATTCATTGATATATTTTTATGTATTAATTATATGTTTAAAAGAAAATTATAAATTTTATATTTGCAACAATATTGAATAGTAAAAATAAGTATTATATATTATATCATTGTAGGATTAGTATATTCAAATTTTCTAAATAATAAATATGACGTACGATTACAAATTTATCTCGAATAATATTTCGCTACATATATGCTATATTGAAAATAAAAATTTTGATTATGATATAGTAACATATACTGCAATATACAATATACATATTATCGAAGGAACTATTTGAAAAAATATATAACTATAATACGTGTTTCATTCATCATTTCATACAACATATATATATGAATGAAAATTTTACATATAAATGAATGAAAAAATTATAATATATAATAATAATAAAAGGAAATATTAAAAAAATTTAATTTAAAATTATTCATAATATATTTATTAAAAAACAAATTTAAAAGTCAAAATAATAAATAAATAATTTTTTTTATATCAATATTATTTTTAATTGATTTATATATTTATATTTACATCATTGCTTGTAATTCGATATAATAACAAAGATAAATTTTGAAAAATATTAAAATTCACTTAATTGTAATAAAATATTAAAATTTATATTTTTAAATGTAAAAAAATATATATAATATTTGAATAATATTGAATAAAATTATTTAATTAATTAATAATTAAAATTAATTAATTAAAATAAATTTTAATTTCTAAATTTTAAAAAAATAAATAATAATATTAAATAATGTAATGAATCTTAAATTACAAAGCATAAATATAAAATTACATATATCTAATTAAACAAAATTATAATATATTTAAATTTCAAATTACATTTTTAAAACAAGTTAAATTAAACTTTATTTTTGTCAATACCTTTGTAGTATAATAAAATAAAATTTATATTTTATTGTAATAATTATATATGTATATTATAATATTTTTTTTATATATGTAAATTATAATATTTTTTTATGATCATATTAGAAAATGAAAAAACTCTAAAAAGAATTATAATAAAATCACAATAAAAATATATATACGCTAAAAATAAATTACATATAATATATAAACAATGAATAAATTGCTAATAATATTAAAAGCTCACTGGAAAAAATAGATTACTGAGTAAATTAAGCAAACTGAGTTTAAAAGTAAGCAAAAGCGCTTTAGCTATTATAATTTAAAATTAAATGTTATATTATTTGCTAATATATCTAACTTAATAATATTTAATGAAATATTAACAAATAATTAATTTGTTAAAAATAAATTCATATTATAATGGAAGTATACATGAATACAAAATAATATGTTACACGCGTGCTATTATACAATAGCTTTAAAATATTTGATACATGCATTAGTATATAACATGGGTAACATTTGCATTACATTGTGATGTAACTGCTTCTTCTAATGTACAATCCAATTTACGGTAATTAGCAGTGCTTGGTCGTCGTCTAGCGCGATTATTTCGTGATCTTCGTCCTTCTACTATAATAGCTATTATCTGTAATATTAAAATACTAAAATGTAAAATATCAAGAATAGAAACGAATGATTGAAGTTTTATAAATAAGAAAAAAAAATACTTATTTACTTTCTGTTTATGCTGATAAACAAAATATGCAACTACAAAGATTAAAGAAAGTGCAGTTAAGTAAGTAAGAAAATGAGATTCTTCATCTGTTCTTATAGGATGATATTGAGGTATTGAGATATCTCTTTGCTCAGATGGTTCAGGTATACCTTGATCTTGATCTGCTGACATAAAAATACATTAAATATAAATATATATCAAAAATTATAAAATATCTTTTTTTTATTA